CTTTGCTTAATGGACGAACGAGCGCGATTCTCTAGCATGGAAACCAGCTCGTCTAAGGGCTTCTTTTCTCCTCCGCTGATCGATGCAAGATTAATTTTCGATCGTTGGAGTCTGTTTAACCGTGATTCGGGAAATAAACGAAACTCGCTAAATACTCGGTTACATTTTCTCTTCTTCACTTAGTCTGTATTAATTGTGAAATGTGAAAGGTTAAATTGTAGTAATGTTGATATAACAGGAATTGAAGTTCGCAAAGAGTGTTTTTTAATACTTTTTATTCGTAAAATTTGTGACACTGCTGGATCCAAGTGTACTCTTCTAAATAATAAAGAGAAGAAACATCGCTATCGGAACATACTTAGGTAGCTTCCAGGAAGAAAAATCACAAGTATAGCCGTATTTCTATGCTGCGGAGCTATCCATAACCCCTTAAACCCAACTCGTTAAAGCGCCTAACGAACGCTAATATTTCACGATTAAAGCCGTCAAACGATACACAGGAACGCGCGCGGGCACAACGATTATAGCGCGGAATATCAGCGCGGCAGAAACGGCGAGCGAGAGAAAAAAAAAAAAGAGAAAGAATGGCCTACCCCCTTGTCTGCGAGCTCGCTGCGTAACGATTAGCTCGAATTACAGTCGCTAAAGCACGTTGGCTCGGCGCACGTTGCTCAGCTACGGTGTCATTAGCGGCCTCTGGTAATTTCTTCTTCCATTTGCCCGGTGTACGCGAAATTTTCGTGACGAACGGGGCTCGCGTGTCACCGCTCGTTAAACCCCCTCTCTCCCCCGTCACTCCTCTCTATTGCAAGAAGTCTTCACCCCCCACCCACCTTCTCCGCTGTTCCTAACACACCCTTGTTCTTCTTTCGTCCGCTAAATAACGATAAGATTAAGCGTCAGCCGGCCCGAGTGCAGGAAGGGTAAAGTGATAATAATTGTTTGCAGGGAGTTGAAGCGGAAAGGTCGTCGATGCTCGCCACCCTATCCGAAGGGGATGAACGTTGGAGCTCTTGTAACAGGGTGTGCATGCGTGTACACGTACATATGTATGTATAGAGACGTCGAACGTGGTAGACACACCACGCTCTCCTCGAGAGTTGGAGTCACTGGGACGAAAAGAGGCTGAAGTGGTGGGGGAAGGTAGCAGTGTCGTGGGGGAGGGGGGTTGAGGTGGGCGGGGTGCGCGACAAGTAAGAGGTCGAGGATGAAATGGACAGGCGACGGTGCGAGACAAGGCGAGGACGAAAATGAGAGAAACTAAACGAGCGTGACGAGGATGACGAATGACCGAGAGCAGGCTAAACTCCGATTTGAAAGGTTCGTGGGTACGAATGGGACGAGTGTAAACTGAACGAAAAACGCAGAACTATGGGTGGAAGGTTCCGGTAATTTTAGTGGAACGATGGAAGCATGAACGAGGGATTTAGAAGAGGGGAAATATATTTATTTGTCGTATATATGTATATGTAGTTGTTTGATGTTTCTTTTGTCGTTCCGAGAACGAGACGTAGCGAGGAGTGAGAGAAATTTGGAAAAATGTTGAATTTGCAGTTTCTTCTACGAGACAGATATTTGTTTCGTTACGCAGAAATCAATTTCACGACGACCGTTTCACATCGATCTCCTTTAGTTGCGTACGTTGAAATACGAAATAGAGAAAGAAAGATAATGATTCGAGGATCATTCGAGCATCGCGGATTATTGAATTTAATAAGAGCATCGAAGAAATAGCGAGGTAGCGAATCGATCATTGAAGCGATCAAATTTGCATGTAATAAAGAGGAAGGTTAACACGAGTTTTCCGGCGCGCGCGTTAGCGATGTTCTAGCGTGTCCGTGGTAATAATTTAATACACGCCCGGTGTAATGCAGCTACAAACTTACCGCAAGATATACCAGCGTGCGCGCGCGAATCTCGTTTTTGTGGAAGTAAAAATGTAAAGCGGATCGCGACGAACGGATTCCCCCGGTCGGTTTCTCGGTTCTGAAACGTAGAGCACACCGACCGCGCGACCGGACGGAAAAGAGACGAACGAGCTAAGAGGCCGATTGTCGGAGAGGCGCTCGAGTACGAGAAGGAGAAGGGGCGACATGGCAGCTTGGTGGGACTGAGCGAGATGGAAAAGACGAGCAAAGGGGAGACCACGTGGTATCGCGGTAAGCAGTGGGAGGGCGTAGCGGTCGGTGGTGCGGGAGAAGGAGAGGGAAGAGCTTCCCCTCGACTCTGCGGTTGATTAGTTGATACCCGTCCGTCGTCGAGGGTAGATCGTTCGAGGTTCACGTCTTACGTTACGTATGGTGGCATCGCGTATTCGTATCGCGTATACTCCAACGTGATTCAACATATTCCTATTCCATCCGGTGTGTCTATACCGTATCGTCGCTTTTCCTCTCGATGTATTATTGTGAAACGGGTACGAAGTGAGCCAGTGACCACAGAGAGAGGACTCGAGGAAGAAAGTGACAGTGCCAGTTAGTGTGTGCTCTCGCCTCGACTCTATCCTGCCTGTTTGCCTTGTGTCTATTTTTCTACCGTTTCGTTCGTTCGTTCTTTCTTTCTTTCTTTCTTTTTCTGTCGGTTTTTTTTCGTTACTGACCAGTGAATAATAGTGCGTACTGGCTATGACCTGGGATACCGCCGGATATACCTGAGGATAACGGGAGACATATCCATTACTCCTGACAGGACTTCGTCGTGACGGGAGGAAGCCAACATAACCTCTTCGAGGGTCTTTGACGATAAGATGTACCCCAGTGCCGGTATAAACGCTGCGGCAGCTGTGGCTGTGGCAGCTGCAGCACGGCACCCGGTAAGTGGTTTTATTTCTTTTTCTCCTTGTCCATCTTTTTTTCCCTTCTTTCTCGCTTACGTACACGCTCGACAGGAATGACTGGCACGACGTTCGCGATAAAAATAAAACTCGTGAAGATTTGAGGTATTGAGACATCTTGTTGTGAGTTCACCAGGCGAAAGGTTTGATTTTCCTGTTCAAGTGAGCCGTGTGACTCGTTCCGTCGCTACCGACGCGACCAACCAAATCCACGCTATCCTCGTAAAATCGTGTTTCTAATCTAAACGAACTAAGTTCCAACGTTTAATATGTAAATATGGTGAACATTAGAGCGTCTTTTGCAATGTGGTTAAATGTTACTAACTATTAGCGGCGAACGTCTTGAACAGCTTTTTTTACTCCAATTATCAACAGAACTACATTTTTTCCTTTCAAACCGCTTATCGAATACCACTTGGAGTTTCTAGTTATCTGAAAATTATACACGTAGAGAGAGAGAGAGAGACGAGGCCGATTAACTTGTGCCGGTGACCTTACTGCTCCGTCTTACCATCAATAGTCGATGATTACAAAGTGACCGTGAAAACATTCAGATCCGTGGCAAGATACGATTAATGTTTCATCGTAGTCAGTGTTTTCCTGACATTGCTCTGTGTGTTGTATACCGGCGGACTCGTCGCGTTGTCGTTTCAGGCATAATACAAAACCGGTGAAATTAAATTTAACCTTCCACCGTCGGGAGTGGCATAACAATTTAAACACGCCCGAAAGAATAAGGTTACTGAAAATTGCACCTGGGGTATATAGGCAACCCGTCATCGAATGTTTGTTCATTTTTTTTTCTCTCCTCGCCGATACACTCTCTACCTGTCTTTATCGCTCTTTTTCTCCGTGTGCTACTCTCTCGCAATTCATCGTCTCGTTTTCGCTACGGATATTGAACACACATCGCGTGTATCCTCGCCTATTCGAAAATCCTTTCAATTGCGAGCGCACTTTCGATAAGTATCGTTCGTTGCAGCACACCGGTCGCGAGCCTCTATCCATGCTAATTCGAGATACCGATATATCGACTGGTATATATACAGCCACCATAGGACTCTCCTCTTCCGTCAGATGGATTCCGTAGTCCATGGTCTGTTTTTTCCTCCCTTTCCCCACTCCTCCACCGTGCGCAGCATCACTCGAACGGAATAAAAAAAGGCAGACCTGAAAAGTACTGTCAGAGTTTTTCCTTTTTTTCTCTCTCGTTTTTTTTTTTCGAGCCAGTCCGAACGGCAGCGACGGCAGGCGACTCGCGCTCGCGCGCACACCCGCCAGACGGACTCTTTCGGATCGTTAGTCGAATGAATCCAGTCCCGTATTTATTTTCTCTCGATAGTTTACCCACGTTCTGCGCCCATCCCTCGTTTCACCACTCCCACCATTCCGCCCTTCCCCCTACCGCCTGCAGTCCATCACTCTCTCTTCTTGCAAAGCATATACACGCGGGTAGAAACTCCGACGCGCGAGACAGTTTGCACACGCGTCGTCGCGCTTAAATACTCGTACGCGCAATTTCTTTCCTGCGCCCGTATAAATACGCACTCTATGAAAATTCACGCGAATGCTTAATCTTTTTTTTTTACTCCGCCATCTCTTTTTTTTTTTACTCCGCCATCTTCTTTTTTCGAACCTTTAGCTAACATTGATTCACTACTATATCGAGTACAACGAATATAGATGTTGAGAAATCTAGAAACGAACGTTGCATGATATTCGTTTCCAACCTAATTTTAACCTAAAAAAAGATACCGTTGAAATTCCATTTTATAAAATGGAAGTGATCTTCGAAACATTGAAAATAATCATTGCTGCATACGTCTTTGTTACTTCACAAATTTTTTGGTAGGACAAATACATATAGTTTACAGACTAATTGTGAGTCGTCGAGTCAAACGGACTACCCTGTATATAGCAAGCGGTCGTCCATAGCTTGCGTGCGCTTCGCTGGCGCGTGGTTGCGCGCGCGGTGTACAGACGGATGGTCAGACGGTGGCGCAGAAACGGTCGGAAAGGGAACGAGCGAGCGAGCGAGCAGAGGGGAAAAGAGATCGTGGAACGCGCGTTGGCTCGTCGACGGAATAATATTTGGCCGGCGTGCAAATTTTCATTCGGCCGTAAACAGGCCGCGAGCCGAGGCGGAAAAGCTTGTCCGGTACACGATGAAAATAAATGCGTGTATCATGACCGCCGTCGGCCAATATCCGCAATTACATTATGCTCGGTACATGCCACCCGTGGCTAACCTATCGACGATTACCAACCGAGTAAAGCGCGCTCTCGAAGGGGGGAAAAAAACTAAGACTGGGGAAACGAAAGAAACATTGGTGGGAAAGGAAGGAAGCAGAGTATCCAGGTTAAGAAGAGTGAGAGTGAGAGAGACGAGGAGTTCTGTGTCGTAGGGAATTATTTGAAACGTTCTGGAACATTTCCAATACGGTATCGAAAGTGGAGCAGATTTGCTCGCTTTAAAAGCCAGGTTTAGGCGATCCATTTTTATTCGATGTGTCCTACTGCCGCGTGATCGCTGTTTTATCGTCCCAATCGTATAACGTGTGCGTGTCGACGGACACGCTTCTTCCTGTCGTGCTCCCGTTAACGATCGGTTACTCGTTCGATGAAAAATTGCGGTCGCTCGAAATTATGGTAAGTCGATAAAAGAAATTTCTCAGTAATAGAAGAATTTTATTTACGGTAACATGTTGAAAAAGACAAACAACGTACGAAATAAAGAAAATAAACGAGATCTATTGCTTTCGAGAAACGGAGAGGTTAAGATACATGGATAGAAATAGATTTTTTTTCCAGCTAGCTTTATCACATCAATTTTTACCTATTTTAATAAATACACCCTTCAAGTGCAGTATTACCTTTTTCTAACACCCTATATAACAGACCATTCGCACATAACCTCGTCTCTTTTATCCGCTCGTAAACGAATCTTCGTTTTAACACGTATCTTTCGTCAAGTTGGTAGCAGTCGGTTATTCCCCCTCCCTGTTTTATCACAGTAATACGCGCCGTTTACAGGTTTCTCGTAATCGATAGGGTGTTGTAAAAATTTACCTCTAGAGGGACGGTAAGGTTCGACGGGTCCACTTGGACGTCTCTCTTTTCCAGGCGTTCATTCCTTTGTCCCCTTTTCACCGGACTTTGGACGACCGTATCCTTAACTTTTCCACGCTTTAATCCGGTAATCCTATTAACATTTGTAGTGATCGTAAAATTCGAGCCTGCCTCTCTCCCTCTGCGCAGGTGAGGTTACAATTTACAGAGGGGACGCTCGATTGTTGACAAGTGCCTGCAATGTAAACACAGGTGCACGGGTCTTGAAAAGAGACGGGGGGGGAAAAAAAAATGGTTACCTGGGTCGCGATCGGCTCCGACATCGGTCATGTTTACCCGGCATTGTCGGCCTCGATTGTTTGTCCGGCTCGTTACCGGAGTTCCTCCTACTTTTATCGATCCTTTCACGGTTCTGAATAATATTCTTTCGACGTTAAGCGCGACCGGTTGCGACGAGGATCGCTTCTGCAAGATTCCTGTTCGTTGGAAACTGCAGGAAGCTCGTTTGAAACACAAAACGAGTCGTGTGTGAGGTTATTCGAATAGCAATATTTGGAGGAGTTCAAAAAATTTGAGTTCGTTCGTTTGATGTTCAGGGACTGTGAATATTTCGTAGAGGAAAAATGAAATTTGTATCAATTTTCAAGAATTCTGTTGTATTCGAGTTGTTCGAATGGTTTTAAAAATTGCAGTTCGTTCGTTTGAAGTCTAGCAGAGGAAAAATGAAATTTGTATAAATTTTCAAGAATTTTGTTGTATTCGAGTGAAACGATCTACAGTTCCTTGTTTTAGGTAATATTTTTTATTGCCGTCTCAATGAAATATTAAGTCGAAATCGAAATGTATTAACAAAGATTTTCGAAAACATGGCTTGCTTCACGTCACTAAAATATATCCTACAATATTATCGCAAATACTACTGAAATTCACGTGAATTCTAAATAATCTTCCTTTATTAATACATCTACCAACCGTTCACTCTACTTCCAGCAAGATTAAAAGCTTCCTCCCGGTACGCCATTACAGTATTCCCTAATATTTTATTTCTCTCCCTAATCTCGCTTTGATCGATCGTCGAATTTAAACGAGTCTCAAATTTCCACGAGCCCTCTCTCTCTCTCTGCCTCTGTATAAAACTCATCACCGCGTCGTCGAATGAAAAAGGAGGAATCGTTGAAATTGAAATACCCGGTACATTTGCCCGCGAATCGAGTTAAATCCCCCGCGATAATGGAACCTAGACACCCCCACCCCTATCTTACCTCTAATTATTATATCGCGATATACGCGGGAACAATCGGCCGCGTCGTATAATTGTCGTCTGGCGTGTGGAAACGAAGAAAAGAGGGGCGAGCGCGCGCGGGATGTTAGGGGCGAGGGGGCAGAGGGACGAGAAAGAGGGGCGC